CAAATACACAAAATATAAACACATTGCATTACACCAAATACACAAAATAATGTTATTTTTAGCAACTTCATATGACCCCTTTAAATAACACCTCAGCCTGACAACTGTTGAATCATCTGCTGCACATTGTTTGACTCAAAATGCAAGAAATCCATATAGTCATTCTGCTCCGCTGTCCTCTCATGAAATACTCTGTCTGTCCGTGTCATTGAGGGTGCTGAGGGAGAAAAGGGACTAGGGCTGCAGCCCGGAAAGAGAAAGTGTGTGTGTGTCCCTTCATTTCAGCCAAAAATTAAAATGATGTAATTATTTACTCACCCTCAAGTCATTCCAAACCTGCATGCCTTATTTTCTTCTAAAGAATACTTTGGAAACGTTTCAAATTAATAAAAGTAAATGAGGACTATGGCAGTCAAGCTCCAAAATGATAACAAAGCACAATGAAAGTATTATATAAGCAGTCTAGCATTATATTACAAGATTTCTGAAGTCATGCGATAGCTGTCTGTGATTAATACATTAAAGTTGTTGTGCTTTAGTGAAATAGTGAAATACTTTGGTTTGTTTCTGACACAAAGCTATGACATCAGAAGACTTGGAATACATGATATGACTGTTTTACAGTGCTTTTTGTCCTTTTATGAGCTTGAAAGCCCCTGGTCACAATATTCTTCCAATCTATGGAAAAGAGTAGCATGAACCTTCTGAGTAAATCCAGTGGAAAAAAGAAAGTCATAAGGGGTTTGTAATCGCATGAGGAATATCAAAACCACAGATTTTTCATTTTCCGCTGAACTACTCCTATTGGTATCGTGTCTTCGGCCACAGTATGAATCCACACAAACCAAATGATCACATCTTTCATTCCTGTTCCAGAGCTGAACCTGCTCATTATTTTCTGCCCTATTGATATTACACACAATTTCAAGACAAATTTATTCCATTTTTCTGCCTCGTCCAAGAGAAAATTTGGCAACTTTCAGACTTTCTTCGACCAAATCTCAGTTGGGCCACTCATCTGCCGCTCACCGGCCCAGCTGAGGCCTAGTGCGCATCGGAAATTGTTCTCAGAAAGCCATGCGAATAGGAAATGGGAACGTTTCCTTTACTTCTTGTGGTGTGACACTAATTTGCTTCCCCTTGCACTTCCAAGGCAATTAGCTTTGAAGCTTTTCATAAGCTATTCTAGCCCAAGTCGATAGCTAGCGTGGAGAATACGAATTTAAGCAGGTCCACTGGGGGAGGCTAGATAAACATATCAACAAAAGGAGGAGAAACCAGAGAGAGAAAAAAAAGTGGAGGGGGGAGAGCAAAAGAAATATAATTACTCCAACTGCTCGCCTGTATGCTTGGCCTTCATTACTGCGCATCAGTTTCATGCTAAATTCACTTCCTAGCAATTTGCCTCGGAGCCAAAGCACAAGCACCAGACAGTGTAAACAAAAACTCTTTTGACGGCTTGGGCAAAATGCCACCGCCAAAAAACATGGTGAAAGAGTGAACGAGCAGAGAAAGCTAAACAAGAACGGCCCACACCAACTTGTGATCTGTCTTCTAAAAAGTAGTCACTGGAAACCAAGGTCACAAAGTGTTTGACAGTATTTTGTTTGTAATGTCCAGAACCACATGGAAGAAACAGCCGCAGATATTTCACATTCCATATTTCATATCCCTCGCATGGGAAAAATTGGTAACACTTTACAATATGGTTCAGTTCATTAGTATTAGTTAATGCATTAGATTAACTATCAATAAATAGTGTCTATAAAGTTTAATGTTAATTTAATTTTGAAATGAATAAACAGTAACACTTTATTTTATGTGCCAATTCTCATTATTAACTAGCATGCATAATACTAGCATATTGGCGGTTTAATAGTACTTATAAAGGGCATATTAATGCCTTAGTCTTATTCTTATGACCACATGGTAACACTTTAGTTTAGGGACCAAGTCTCACTATTAACTAGTTGCTCATTAGCATGCCTATTATTAACATATTGGCTGTTTATTAGTACTCATACAGCACATATTCTGTATGACCATATTCTACATCCTTAATCCTACCCAATACCTAAACTTAACAACTACCTTACTAACTATCAATAAGCAGCAAATTAGGAGTGTATTGAGGCGAAAGTCATAGTCAATAGTTAGTTAATAGTGAGAATTGTACATTAAAATATAGTGTGACTGATTTACCAAATTATAACAAAAAATTGTTAATCCACTAAAATTATCATCAATGTAGATTAATAAATGTTGTACAAAATTGAATCGTTCTTGATACCTAATGCATTCACTAATGTTAACAAATGGAGACCTATTGTAAGGTATTAACAAATACATTGTCTAAATTGATTAAGCTTATATCTGCCAATAGGAGTGTGGTACTATCAGCACATTTTACCATGTTTTAACGTATTTCCATAGAAGTTTCTTCTAAAATAAGTGCAGAAAACAGTTTGTAGGCTCTATCTGTGCTGATGAAGACTGCTTTTGTGCTTTAGTATTTGTGAGATTGTTAAGAAGCTATGTTGTGATTTACCAAGATACATAAAGATAAAATCATGCAATAATTGTTATGAATATGACAATTTGTACTAGATATGTAACATATTATGACATACATAATATGTCAGTGGTTATTAGGTATTACAGGTTTGTAAAAGTTTACAATGTACTTTGCAACTGGATATTACAATCACCTGTAGAGTTAATATGACTGAAAAAAAAAGAGATTGTAGGAAGGAAAAATCAGCGGGTCTCATCTTAATTGCTTTCTCAGAGAGAAATGAGATTAAATGGAGACTTGCTTATGTTTCCTTTTTTTCAAATGTTTCACAAGAGAGAGAGAGAGAGAGAGAGAGAGAGAGAGAGAGAGAGAGAGAGAACGTGCTAAAGATTATACTCAAAAGTTCAATAATTTAATATAAACACAAACATTTAAATTATCATCAAAAGCTTTATACTGTATGTTCTGACTGTATGTCAACATGTTTTCTCTTTTCTGTCCATTTATGTTTTCCCTACAGAAGCATTTGAAGCATTTGAGACAGACGTTGAAACATTTAATGGAACTTCAATTAAATCTCTTAAGCTCTAAAAACTCAACCACTGTGCAATAATATTGCTTGATGACCATAAATACATGGTAGATTAAGCTATTGTTAAATATTTCCATAAAATAAATGTGGCGTTTGAAGACGAGGCAGTCCGGTGAGGAACAAAACAAGGCACAAACATGCATGAATTTAAAACATTTATTGCAGTAGCGGTATACCTGTAGAGCAGTAACAAGGAGTAACTGTTTAAATATCTATGATGGCAAACGTCCCCACAACCAACAAACATACTGCTGAAAGCAACTCACACCACTCTTGTCTCTTTTCATATTGTTTTTTTTTTATATACTCTTTTTTGCATTTTAAATATTGTGATCCAACATAAAGGTGCTATACAAAATGAATGGCCTCACTGCGTCACAAACCAATAATCATCAACCGAATGAAAAGAAGGTGAAACTAAGTTATTTTAAAGCTATTTCGTCTTGTTAAGCATGCGGTTTCATCGTCTGAACTGGCTGCCATGCCATGTGACAAAAAAGGGAAAAAGAACGGCCCAAACATTTAAAGGAAAAACAGAAATCAAACGCAAATCTCAGTCCTTGAATTATGCACATGCTCTTTTGATCACGTTCTGTTCATTGTTTTTCTGTCTTTTAATACCCCCTACATTTTGAAGAGTATTATTTTTTTTTTTACTCTGGAATGACTGGCACCTGACATACATTTACTGTGTTTTGCATGTCAAAAATTGTGGGCATACACAATATATTATGAAAGAAAAAAGGACTTAGTTCTCAAAGTTTGCAAATACTACTTTCAATTAAAGCACAAGTTCAATTAAACATGTACAAGAATGACATTTGAAATTAGATGTCGAGAATTTACAAATATATTGCTGTTGAATTGTAACATCGTTCTTCTTTTTTGAGGAAAAGACATCAAGCTTTCCATTTCAGTAAGTAGAAATTGAGCATTTACATCAATAATACAAAATAGCTTTGAAAAAATATGTTTGCCAGGTTCATCGACTCAGTAAATGCAAACAAACGGGGCAATTGTGCAATGTCATGACCGACTGACATTATCATCCGGAATTAGTTCGTTTATTCTCCGCCAGAGGGGGTGTGGGTGCATATTTACGTGTGTGTGTGTGTGTGTGTGTGTGTGTGTGTGTGTGTTTGCTTTACAGATCCAGAATGTGGTCCTCTGTTCCAGAAGACAATGACGTTAATGACAAAAGGCCGATAAAAACAATGCGTCCTGTACGATGAATGATAAAAGACAGCTGTCATGTTCACTGATCTATTCCATGGGATTATTACAAGTACATAAAATCGGTTAGTATTAAGTCCTATTTACAAATACTTCAACGATGACAGACTAAACGATTTCCACTAACAGTGTTATTAGCACAATGCTTTCTCGATATGTAAATTCCATTTTCTCAGATGGTGTAGATTAATATAGTCCTCAAAAACAACCACGTCACAATATTTGTATATATTGGTCAGCCGTTACATTTTTTTATTTTTTTTTTTTATAACCGTGATACTTAGAGCACAGCCCTGTTTTGTTTTGTTCATCTTGAACGTTTGTTTGCAGTCTCTGTTCAAGACGAAGTATACATGATTCCTTTTAATGCGAATTTGCAGCAAAACCATGTGAGTTTAAGGGCAGCTATGGATTTGCACGAGAAGATCTCCGTGGACGAGCTGTCGGCGAGTCGGATTCACATAGTTTACTGTCCTGCATAAGCGATAACGTCTAAGGTCTACTCCATACACGTAACTATCACACCGCATTAGCATCGATCTAAGAAAAGAAGGGGGAAAAGAGGAATGGACTAAAGCTCTCAAAAGTTGCTGGGATGATCCAAGAGAGAAGACGGACACAAAACAACCCCACCACCCCCCTCTCAAAAAAAATAAACTCTTAAAGCTGCTGTTCTTTAGGACTGTCGGGGCCAGAGACGGGCTGGTAAGATTTCAGGCTGGCCAATGGGATGTCGGCCATGTGACCACCGCCGCCACTGCCAAAATGTCCCTCCGAGCTCCCGAAGGTCTTCCTGTCCCCAAACTGCTCCTGGCTTCCGCGCTCACCTTTCCAACTGCGGGTCAGGGTGTGGCCATTTAGCAGTCTCTCTTTAGACCATTCCTTTTGGTTGCTGAAAGAAGAAACAGGGGACTTGGGCGAAGGGTACGAGCTCAGGCTCGGCGGCATCCAACAGTTGTCAGAGTGGCCCAACACCAGACACTCTTGGGTGCACATCTCTGTGGCCTCCACTAAGCCTCTTGGTCCTAGAGGTCCATCTGGGGACACAAAGAGAGCAAAATTACTTAGAATTGTCTGTCGAGTTCATAACCAAAGCATAGACCTGTAACATAGAGTGACATAAATGAAACCATATAAAAATATATGTAAAAAAAAAATATATATATATAGCTGAATGCGATTGACACATCTCACACAAGTCTTTTTATTGAATAAAGTCCATAATATGCCAATACATCTTGAAGAATATAGTATGAATAAAGCTCACATTGAAAGCATTGATATGGAGTGCCAAAGCATTTTGATGTCATTCTTTTTAAATGTGAGGTAGCAGATATTTTTATATATATATATATTATTTGCAAGAACGAATGCATTTATTTGTACAAAGATCACACTTTTTACATTTGCAATCTCTTCCCAACCAACCCAGAACAGACTGCATTAGAGGAAATTAATTGGTTATAATCATTAAAAAAATAAATACTAAAATAATGTATGTAACTTTGAGACTTCAGATCTCTCACGGAGCTTGTAGTTGTATAAGACCCTGAATAAACATAACTACTCCTATATTTGACTTTGAATACAGTGAAATATAACACTGACATTCCACCCACATCAGAACACAAAGTGCACTGTGGGAATCGATGTGGTATCATCGGCTCACCTGAATTGTCAAATATGATCAAGAGGATAATGAAGATAATCTTCAAGGAGTCATTTAAAGGGGACCTCTCTTATGCCCTCTGTTACAAATCTCAGGTGTTCCCAGAAAGTGTCTGTGAAGTTTCAGCTCAAAATACCCGACATATCATTTATTATACCATGTCCAAAATTAAAAAAGGACAATAAAATACAGTGTATTTCCTGAATATAACTTGGTTCTTAACCTTTTTGACCCCAAGGCCCCCAACCAGGAAATATTCCAGTGCCCCCACACAAGACTTTTTGACCTCAGAAAAGCATAAAAAGTCATTCAAAACAGCTTTTACCATTGTAGTTAATTCCCATTCATAGCAAACATATGATAGTGGAGTAACAATTTAAAATCTGAGGAGAATGGGGTTCCTCTTATGGTTCTACATGGCACCATTTGACAAAGGTGCTGTATAGCACTTAAAGTGGTTCCCCTATGATTACAAGCCAATGAACCACTTTTAGTGCAATTTAGCACCATTTTTAGAGTGTAATTTTAGATAACAACAACAACAATAATAATGATACTTTATTAGTAGTAGTAGTAGTAATAAAATAGAAAAATACTGAATGAACTAAAATTGTATACAAATTAATTACATGATATGCACAATATTAATTAATTGAATTCATAACAGTGAACTACTGAGAAAAGTCCCCAAATTAAGGCAATTAAATAAGATGATAAAATTATAGACAACATTTTTTATTATGTCAAAATATTGTTTGTTTTATTTCTACATGACTGAACATAAGCCAATCGCTGCCTTTTCAGATGGATCAGACATTTCACTGTGTTGTTGGGCAAAACATCTGGACAGTTTTAAAATGTCCCAAACAGTGTTAAAAGCAAACGTATGCTCTTGGTTTTTATAGCATTTGACTAGACTGTGTCTTGGGCTGTTATCACAGACCACTGGCTGCACTGTTCTCAGTCCAGCTTAAAAGCTTCACTCTCCCACCAGCTGCAGAGTGATACAAATTGGGCCTAAAGTTGATTTGAAAGCAGCTTGAATTGCTAAATATAAAGTGGTGTGAGATTAACTCGAGCACCTCATCTCTACACAGAAGAGCTCTGGTTCAGCAACACACTGAATATCCTTTCATTTCCTTATGTCACTCACATCTGTCACACAAACAATTACACAAAAAGCTTCCAAAATACAGACCAACATGTCGTTACCACCTGTATTCAGGCAAAACACTTTCATAATGCTGTAATATAATACGGTTCTGTTGAAAACACACTTTCATTTTAACGCCACTCTGCGAATCCCGGACACAAGGCATCTATTATTCATACGCTCCGTGTAATACAATACTGTTTGGAGCACTAGGGTTTCAATCCTGGCTCTAATTTTCACCATAACAACTAACATTTCCTACAATGAATAAAGGCCTTTGAAAAATGCGTCGTAGAGGAAGATCAGAGATTGATGATTTGTGTTTGTGAGAAAAGTATGATCTGTACATGAAAGACAGCCACATGCCGTAGCCGGACGGAGCCAATAAATAAATAAACAGGGAAAAGATGAGCGTCTGATGAGGGGAAAAAAGCCAAAGCGCCATGTCTCTACATAATTGGTGTGATAAGGCATAAGCAACTGCCAGAGTTACCGCAGGAAATGGAAGAATCGCTGAAGCAAGATATATTTATGGCATCACTTTAAAACACATTGAGACAAAGGACTGATGACTAATAGCATGATCAGCAGAATCAGAACACAGCGAGACGCAACACAAAACAACGCGTTTTTCATGGTTCGTTATTTTTTTCTGCCCTAAGAAGACTTGCCAACATTCTCAATGGTTGTTGCTGTTGTAATTTCATTTGGTTGGATTCTCTTGAGTATGGATGGGAATCAAAAGGAATTGAGCTTCCCCATAGCGACCCCTAGAGGACGCAGTGTCTCGTTTCCTACTCAGGGAACCATGGTTACACAAGTAACCTGAGACGTTCATTCAGTGGTGGACAGTAACAAAGTATTTTTATTTCGTTACTGTACTTAAATACATATTTCAAGTATCTGTACTTTATCAGAATACTTTTTATTTGGATGAAAATTATATTTTACTTCACTACATTCACAAAAATAATATTTTTTGTTTTTACTCCACTATTTTTCATGTAATTTCTCGTTATTTTGAACTGGAGAAATCATCACCCACTCCAAGACACGATAGTGTTGAATAAGCTGACTCTTTTCAATTAACCCGTTAAATCGATTCACAAATCGCACCAATTGGAATGATCAGATTGCAGCTGTTCCCAAGTCAGCGACTCTGATTCAAATGATTCGTTCAGAAACGAGTCTCCAGTTAACAATTCAGTAAATTCACAAATCTGATTCAAAATGAGTTGAGAACGGGAGATCCTCAGAGCTGGACCATGACTGATGGCATGAGAAGTTAGTAAAGCCAAATTTTAGGATTTATTTTTGTAACTGAAAATCATATTTAGGTCACGACTGTCATTTGTTTGTGAAGTAAATCTGTTTTAAAAGGATGAGCTGTTTAAGGCCACTGTATGAACTGCTTGAATGTGGACATGTTCACATTTGTGAATTCAATAAAGTCTG